ATTTTTCAATATCAAAGCTAAAGATTTATTCGATTCTTAAGCATTTTTCCGACATGACAAAGATAAATGATTTTTTTTAATAATAAGGCCGGCGTTTGCAGGAAGGATTGATTAAAAATTAGGTTTGGTTTCCACAGGTGTACATTTTTATTAATTAAATAGAATGCAATTTGACTGCAACACGACATGAGACTGCAGTTAAAATTAATCGATAATATCCACTAGAATCCAAAAAAAACATTTTTAAAAGCTCTTTTATATACATTTTAAATCATAAAATAACAATTTTATAATACATATAGGTATCTCCGTTGTTTTTATAAACAATATTGTTTTAGAGCACCAAATAAAAAAGAGTAATTTAAGCTCCACTTAAAAAAACTATTAAACCTCTTAAAACTCTGTCTTATCTATTACATTTCGACTAAAACATTTATTTATTCTACAGCAAGCCATTTTATTTTTGTTTTATTCTCAGTAAGCTTAAGCTCTCTCCACCTAATGTGATTGTCACATTTCCCATTACATTTTTAAAGTAGATATTCTTTAACCAATACAACTTAAAAAGTATTTTTTAACAATTGTTCAAAGTAAAAAAATCAAATTATTGTTTTTATTATATTATAGCCATTTGTAGGTACCCTTATGAATTCTAAAATATTTATATTACCGTTTTGATAGAAAGTTGTAGTAAGTGCACCTCTTAATATCCTCAAAGGATTTTGTCCTGGCTTGACTGGTTGTCAAAGATGCGAACTTTAAGAGCTTTGCATAATGGTTTTAAAAATTAAAATCAGTTATTGGGGTAATACGAGCCCTAACCACATAATGTTCGGACACTTCATAATTTATACAGAAATTTTTTTCGTGAATACTATCTCAAAATTTTTAGAAGTTATGAAAAATTCAGCTTATTTTGGCATATACCCCTCGAAGCGATTTTTATTTTTAAAAAGTTTACCTTTTATTTTTAGCTTTTAAAAAAAGGCTAACTTTTTAACTTTTTTTAAAAGCTAAAAATAAAAGGTAAACTTTTTAAAAATAAAAATCGCTTCGAGGGGTATATGCCAAAATAAGCTGAATTTTTCATAACTTCTAATAATTTTGAGATAGTATTCACGAAAAAAATTTCTGTATAAATTATGAAGTGTCCGAACATTATGTGGTTAGGGCTCGTACCAGTAGTTGTTATAATTTGTGAAAAAATTATCTGGTTTATTTTAAGCACAAGCGCTATAGGCAGAATAATTCTGTAGAGACATTGCAAAAATGGTAAATTTGTTGAAACAAATAACAAAAATATAAATAACTATTTACACTCGCCGGCAAAAAAACCGGCCGCCAGAAATTGGCCACAATTTTAATGGGGAGTGTATATTGCAGAAGGAAAAATTATTTTTTGCAACAAGAATACTGTTCTTAACTTGTGCAAAAAAGCTTTTAAATTATTGTGATTGCAAAAACGGCCTCTTGCAAACTTCTGCACTCTTTAAGGAATGTACTATTTTATGACAAGCGCAGCGATTTCTGGGTAAATAAGACCACTCAACTTTCGCATCTGCAGCTGTATTTAATTTTATTTTGTTGGTAAGACTGAATTTTAGTTTATGCGTTAACTTGATTCGCTCAAGGATGTATAAACCGCGTAAACATTAACGGTATTTCTCTTGCTATCTCTTAAAAGTCGAATTTGTGTTGCGCTTGTCATGAAAAATGCTGTTTTGCTACACTCGATATGTAATATATATATTACCTACTCCCTTAAAATGAAATAGGCAAAATTCTACTATTTGAATTATTACCAGCATTTTTTACTAATAAAATAGTCGTTTTCACTTTTAAATAGTTATTTTTTACTACGTAAATAGTTAAAGTTTAACTAATTTAAGATTAGTCACCATCTTTGACTATTTCTAAGAGTTAAAAGTAACTAATTTCTTTAATCGTTTGCAGCCAACAACAAAGTATTATTTGAATTAAATGCATATAGGCTCCATGGTTAAATGGCCTATAAAAACAAACAAAGATGCAAACAGTTTAGCACAAATAATATATTCAACTTTAAAATATTATTAACAATATTTATTGACAAATAAAATTGATTTTTGTAAGAGCGACTGATAGCCACATTGGTTATGACAAAAGCTTGACAAGCTTGACAATTGACAGGCCTGAGTTCAATCCCCGGCTGGTCAAAACTTTTTTAAATTTAAATTAATTAATTTGACTATTTCATTTAGTAGAATTTGACTAATTATTAGTGACTGCTTTTTCGCTATGGCAATTAGACTAATATGACTATTTACTTGTTACCGTGGTTCTCCTTAAATATTACAAAAACGATTTATTTTAACGAGTTTTTTTTGCAAAAAAGCTCATTAATTTTGAAATTCCACTGTTAAAATATTACAACAAATTATATTTTGTATTGATTGAAAAAAACCGGTTTCATTTTAAACCGGTTCGGAACCGGTATTTTTCGGAAAAACCTTGGAACCGATTTTCGGATTTTTTATTTAAAGTTATCAAATTACCCGCAAACTAAATCAAATTTTTTTCACAACTATTTATGCAACCATTTTGTTAAAACAAAGAAAAATTCAGACTCAAATGACTGAATACTTGGCCTTCAATTAATTTCCAGTGCTCCGTTTACAGAAACAGAAGTGTAGTGTAATCAAAGATCGGGAATATATCTTCCTTTTTTCTTAATTAAAAGTTTATCTGCAAGTGACATCGGGCTTTTTAAAAGATTTTGCACACAACTTACTTCCGCTGGTGCCATTATTGTTAATAAAAAATAAAGTTTATTTAAAAAACAAGACACGTAATTCACTTGGAACTTAAAAAACACAAAGGCGCGCGGCGACCAAAAAGTTAGAAATCAAACAAACTGACACAGATAACAGCTGAGCTCTTCACTGCGTTCGGTGCCCCAAATTGACGATATATTCGCGTACTGAGAGGATAACCGAAGATCACCGAATCATACTCGGAATGGGTACATTTCAAACTGTGCCCTGGCGACTATTCGCACGCTTCAGCTTTGCGGAAAGAAGGTTTAAATCCAACTGTTTGAGCGGACGGTAGGAAGGTTTGAGACCATCCTTAAATAGTAATTACAATGGTGTTACGTATAACTAAAATAATGCACAATGCAACAAATAACTTTTATTACTTTAGAACCAGCCGCCACTGATATATGTTATATATGTTTTATTTCAATATTTTTTCATGGATAACTTGACATAAAAAAAAATTGTAAATAGTTATTATTGTTCATTTTTAATTTGGCTACAAAATCGTTCCTACGTGAAATTTTTCAATAAAATTTAGTGTATGGTAGTGTATTTTGTATTTTGTAAAAATATGTTTTTTTTTGGTCCAAAAATACAGTTTATTAAGACCTACACTTTAAAACAAATCCGGTTAAAATCGCACAATAAACAAAGATTTTACAGGGGTGAGTCGCAAACAAATGGGTCACACTGTATAAGACAAAGATAGTTGCTTTTTTATATTTATTTCTTTCATATAGTGTAAAGATTTCTCTTTACCCCAGGTTCGTTTAAAACAAGTTTTATAAAAAATTGATAAATTAAATATTTTGTGGCTTTGGCTCGTGATCGTCTTACCCAAATTTGGACCTCTACGCTGTGTTTACTTACTTGTTTTATTAAATGCATTGCTTTAAAAATGATACGTGGGAGAATTAGGTTTATAAGAAATAAAATACAGCGGTTTAGTTTACCCCAATTTAATTTACGTTAACTTTTTACAAACAAGGAGGGTTCGGCCAGGGAAAAAGAGCCTGAGAAAAAACCCTGGTCGGCTATGAAGTAGCAAAGGAATACGCGGTCAGGCATTGTACTTTAAAAATTACAAAAATTAATGTATTGACGATTTGGCTCGATGCTGCATTTAAACAAAGATTTAAAACTGAAGAATATTGGTGTTACTAAGCCGGGCTAGGCCCAGAATGTAACGGGGTCCACAAAGGGAGGCAACCCGCCTATTTTAGTTGAGGGGTCGGGAAAAAGCGATGCAACTCTAGAGAACCTAGGACAACGTGTTCCCCTCACGGGAGAAAAATATTAGTTCATACAACAAAGGCCCACGCACACAAACAAAGAGTACTTAAAGTTGGACAATAACGGTCAGCACTCCTGGTTAAGCACCGAGTAATTTCGCAATACATCAATAAATTTGGACTGATCATAAAACAATGCTTAACCACGTTATAGAAAAGGTACAAAATGATGGGTTAAGCACAAAAAAGGTTACATTTGAGCAGTACAAGCATTGAGCATAGCAAATTATTAAAATTATAGTGATAATAGTAAAAGCGAAAATAGGGGTGGTAATAGCTAAGCGTTAAAAAATAACGTAAAATACAGCTAAACGTAATAATAAAGAATAAATATACTCAGAATAGCAATAATCAAATAATAATAATATTAACAATTTAAAAATGCACAACATTACGTTTAGTTAATTTTACTATACATTTATATAGATTAAATATTTAGAACTAACCTTGTAGAATACACTAACAACACTTTTAACAATGATTTTAGAACATTAACTTGATTTTACAATTTTACCAACGAAAACGAACTGTACTGTACCAAATTCAAAACGCTTCTGCCTCATTTTTCCTTTCCAAAAACCCTCTTCGTTTACCTCTGGTGGAAATTCCCCGGCTAATGTGTTGGCCAGATGTCCTCTTCCTCAAGCTTAGCGCATACCTCTCTTGTTTGTTTGGCAAATTTTCTACCTAAATTTGAAATTTCGCTTGCCTTAAAAATAAAGTTTTATTACTTAATCCTATTTTAAAATTAGAAAAATAAAATATATTTAAAAACACGTATTCTAATAAATTTATACAGAGTATTTCTTTTTCGGAACCATAACAATAGTCTAGGAAAAATATATAAATTTCTAAAACACAAACACAGCACTTACATTTTTCTCATTTTCCTTGTCTATTTCTTTTCAAGGAGCGGCTGAAAAGAGCTCGAAACACGGCGCCGAGGACAAGGCCAACAACATCATCACGGCCATGAAGGATCGCATGAAGCAGCGCGAGCGGGAGAAACCGGAAATCTTCGAACTTATCAGGTATCGTAAAAAATATGAATTAGGGCCTTACAGACAAATTTACGATCTTCCTCCTTCTTCTTCCTCCTCGCCTCCTCTGCTCTATCGAGTCCGCCAGCAGTGTTCCCTGTTTTTTAGATGAAATATATTTGGGGTATTTTTAAATGATTATTTTAAAGTTTTGGTAATGAATTTATCCAAGCTAAATAATAAGAATTCGCTTTTATAATGTTATTTTTTTTAAGTATGATTTGTTTTGCCAAAATTCAAGTCCAAGAATATTTTGCTCTGATATTTAAAAAAAATTTGCATCCTTTTTATCAAAAAATCGTATTTATAATGAAAAATCGTAGTTTTTACAAAAAATATTGTTTTTTTGGATATTTTATTTTTATTTATTTTTTAATATTATTTAATAAATGATCTTTTAATTAAAAAAAAGATATTTTTTATTTTTTTTTAATATTTTTTTTGTTCGTTTTAGAAAAAAAGTTAATAATATTTATCAACTAAAGTAATTTAGTTACTTTAATTTTTAACATTGTCAATATTAAAATATTGTAGAAAAATATTTGATATAAAAACTAAAACAGAACTATCAATCCAATAAGAAATATTTTTCCTAAAAAAAACGTAACAAGTAGGTACAATATTTTTACAAAACATTTAAAAAATAAAAATTGAGTCACAAGGATGGCACGCCGTTTTACTTTTTAATGACATCAAAAAATTAACTCAAAACAAAAATTACCGAAATTAAAAATTGCCTGAAAAATATATACGTTCATAAAAATTACTAAAATAAATTTAATTATAAATTGAAATCTACCAATTTATTTTTTGGTGCATCATATAAGTTTCCATATATATTTACATCATTCTGGTGTGATCTATATTTTTAATCCTTATTTTTTATTGTATGAATATTTTTTCTATTCAAAAAGGGTGTTTATATCTAAATAATATAATTTCATTTATTAATTTAAAATTAAGTTAAAGTAGAATATTTATTTTGGAATAAAAATTAGACAAGATTTAAATCTGTAAGCGCAAGACAAATTTTTTCGATGAAAAATTCGATGAATTAAAATGTTGGTTATCACTCGTAAACAGAATTTTAATTTGTCGCTAGTGCATAGTGCGGTTGTGTTACGTACTACTGCCACCAAGCGAAATCACATAACGTCGAAGGTACATAAGCTCGAAAATAAATTAGGCAACGGTGCGTTCAAATTCAGTGCTGCCGAGTGATAACGAACATTTTAATTCATCGAATATTTCAGTCAGAAAATTCGAGGTACATAATATTTATTCCAAAAAATAAAAATAAGGAATTATTATTTTGTCACATACAAATAGCATTGAATTTATTATCTAAAAAAATAATCTGAATAAATGAAAATTCGCATTGCTAGATTTAAATAACATAATAATTAATAACAACTATACCACAACTTTATTCCCGTATAAAAAATGTTTCAAAGTGTTATAATCAACAAAATAATTCGTATTAAAAGTAAATATTAAAATTTTTACAAATAATAATAAAAATTAAATTCTATTCAATTCTTATTAGTCAAATAAAATAATAAGTAATATTAAAAACATTTAATATTAAAACAAATATTTCGTGCAAAATATTTGTGTGTCGAATAAGAAACTTTATCACTAATTTCTAACAGGTAAATTGATTTTTATATCGACGAGTAATAATAGAAATTAATTGCGACATAATGATAATTTCAGTATCACTTTTTCTTAAATAAATGTTGCGAACGTTAAATTAACTGGCAAAGAAATTCGATGAATTAAAATTTTGGTTTACATAATTTCAATTTGACTGCGTGTTTCTCCAAGTAGCGCCTTATTAAAATTATCTCAACCAAAATTTTAATTCATAGAATTTTTTAGTCAGAAAATACGCCATTCAGTTCCAGAATTAAAATTACTTTAATTCTTATTCTGTGCTTAAAATTGTGTACTCAATATGCCAAGACATCATAAAAATTTTACTTTAAAATGTTCGGTCAATTTTTAAAAAAGCAACTTGAATTAATATTTAGCTTTAATAAACATGACATTAAAAAGTAAAACGGCGTGCCATACACAAGTACATTATTTCAATTTAAATTTATTAAAATTAAAAAAACAGCCCAACTAACATGTTTTAAAAACAAAAAAGTATTGATGAATTAAAAAAAGGATTCTTGGGTTAAAATAAGCATGTTTTTAGGTGGATTATAAAAAAGTTAAATATAAATATGTACAAACTAAACATTTGGAACAAAAAACTCTTTTAAAATATCTTAAAATGATAGATTTTAAAATATTTAAAAAAAACAATGATTTTTAAAATTCTTTTTAATTTTTGTCATAAAAACTTTTTCACCCTATTTTACGTTAAGTTTATTTAAAAAATAAATTTTAAAAAATATATGTAAAAGCGTTGATTTTTGTAAAAACTACATAATTTATAAAATACGATTTGAAGTATTAAACAAACAAAAATTACGTTTATATAGGTAAATTTTAAAGATGAAACGAGTAGAATCATTTCTTTTGCCCAATATTTTATTCAACTACCGCAAGCAATTTGAAGCCAATTGTGTTTGATGACCTTACTTGTTTCAAATTTTATCTTGAAGCTAACTTCAGTCTGTGGGCGAAATGCTATTTCGCCCACGAATTGAAGTTAATAAATAAACAATTTGGTAAGTTAAAATGTATTGCGGGTGTTGAATAAAACTAATTACCTAGTAAACGTCAAAGTTGCATTGTTGTTTTTTTTAATTTATCGGTTTTTACGTCCTGATTTTTGTTTTAAATTTTGATGTGGATTCTCTTTCACTCCCCTAATCAATTGCAAAAATATTATTAAAAAAATATTTTTTTTTATTTTGCTCTAATTTTATTTTTCGTCAAAGACACAAACGAGCAAACGTACAAGAAAGGATTTCATTATCGTCGCGTCGTTTCGCTGATTAAGGTTTTATTTTAAGATAAAGTCTTCTTTGCGAAATTGAAATTTATGAATACCTACCCGAATACGGCCGTGCGCGGGGCCGAGATTTTCATTTTCGTTTATGATGATTATTCAAAAAAAGTGTCCCAGTAAGATTAGGAATCTACACAAAGGAATGAAAAAAATTTTAAAATCTTTTTTTTATAGATCTATACCTTAACTAAATTTATCTTTTTATATTAAAATAAAATAGTGGATTGGTTAATATATATGTAAAAACCCCTCTAAAATCTTTATTTGAATAGATATTTAAAAAAATTAAAAATAAAGAAGCATCGGTAAAATTGATAAAATAAATATAAAATAGCTTTTTTATGAAACCCTGTATATATTTAAATATTTAGATAGAGTTTTTTATTCTAACTTCAAAAATATATAATTTGTTTGTGTTTAAATTAAACATTTTATTATTTATTGAACCAGGTTTAAACACTAATAACAATAGTTTACAAAATCGAAAAAAAAATCTGCTCACAATATCTCATTATAATTTTCCCATGTATTTTGACCCACTAAACACGAAAAGCACACTTTTTTATGAAGGCGTTTTTGAAATATGAGTTTTCAGTTGTTTTTTTTTTCAATTTTCGGAGCCCTTAAATTGAGCCCTCTAAAACTTTTGATATCGGATAAGTATTTTGACCCTAGCGATTTTAACAACTTAAAAAATTCGTTTTTATGGCAAAAATTGAGGAAGAAAATTTACATATCGTCCTGGAAAACGTTTAAATCAAACAGATAACTCCAGTTTGATTTTTTTTTTCGTAAAGCTAACATTTTTACAAAAAGACAAGCTAATGTTGATAAAAATACATGAAAAAATGGCGAAGTTATGAATTTTTTAGTGAAAGACCAAAATTCAGCTTTTTGACGATTTTTATTTTATTTTGTAATAATATTTAATGAAAACCTAATTAGTGCATGATTGGAATTTTTTGAGTTTTTTACGTACTTTTTTCACCGAAAACATTATTCAAAATTTAAATTTAACATGACTACGCAAACGTGAGTTTTTTTGTTTCTCGTGGTGGCATAGTGACATTTAACTGCTATTTTTTGTTATTTTAACAAGGTATTTTTATCATGGTTTTCACCAACAAATGAATGCTATGGAGCGGCGGTATCACGGCTTCTGGGATGCAGCCATGATGTGTGATTACATTTGGTCCCTCATACGAGAAACGGAATACGAAAGCAACAAAAAACAAAGGAGCCAGCATTTTTTTAAACGTATGCTTATTACAACAAAATAAAACTTTCAATATCTTCAATGTTCAATATTTATTGTTCAATATCCAATATATAATTTAATTTCAATATTTTATGTTTAAAATAAAAATCAATGTTCAAAATAACATTTTATAAAATTCAATAAGCTTATTTTTTTCCTTTAAGTATAATCTGTACGTATATATAATAAACTGGACTTTTTCAATTTCTATCTTTCCCAGAAAGATATGTAAATTTACTACCTCGATTTTTGTAAAAAAAAGGACTTTTTCAACTTCATAAAATCGCCAGTATCGAACTACTAGCCGATATCAAAACTATACAAGAGAAAGTTGTAGAGGGCTCAATTACCTTTAATTTAAGTGCTTGTTTGGTCAAATCGATCAATTAGAACTCGAAGTATACTCTAAAACGTGAAAACACCTTAGCAAATTAAAAAAAAACAATTGAAAATTCATATCTCGAAAACGCTTCCATGAAAAAAAATTTAAGTGAGATTTTCGCGTTTAGTGAGCCAAACTACACAAGAAAATCCTAGTGAGACATGGTGGGTAAAATGGCTATAAACTAGTGTAATTGTTCCAAACGCCATGGTTATTTTATTGTAAAAGTTCTTTATCCATGGCAACCATGATTCTCGCGTTAAATTTAGTATAATTTTCGGGTCAGTTATTGACAAAACAAAAATAAATAAAACTATATATTTTGGAAACCAGAAGAAAAAACTATTTAAATATTTAAACATTCAATTCAAGCTGGATTTTAATTT